TGCTGCTCTGACACTGGTTCCTGTCTGCTGTAGTACCTCTAAGACTGACCTCTTGTTTCGTGGAAGACGTATCTTGAACTTTTTTCCATCTAGGTTGTCAACCATTTTTGTGCATTTAGTGAGACAGCTGTCATTCTCATTGTCAGTCAGAGTGAAGTTTCTCAGACCCTCAATGAGGCCCGCGAATCCGCCAGCAGAAAAAAAAGTTTAAAAAAAATTAAATAATTAAAAGTTAGACTTGATTATAAAAATATCCCCGTAGTCGAAATCATGAGATAGAAAGTCATAACTATGATAGAAAGTCATAATGATGAGATACCTAAACACACGTTTATAAGCAGCTCTTTGGCTGGTTACTGTACACTTGGAATGTAAATGTATTGTGAGTACATTGAAGACTTTAAACGTGTCTTTACAACACATGAAATACTTCACGTGGGATTGTGCAAATGCACCCTTGAAAGGATTTTAAGCTTTGAACAAAGTTATTATAATAACTTGTGTTTGATATTTTCTTTAATAGTTTGATCTTTGATAGAGTAATGTGGGTTTATTAACCCTAAATTAAAAGGATTTAAGTTATAATAACAGAAATGTGCTTAAATATATTTTTACATTTATATAACTGCATGTACAATATTTTTACACTTGAATAAACAATAACCAAATGCAGAGACAGTTATTTACCAATATGTTAGGAGTAGTTACATTTACACAGTCTTACATTTACAACCGGCCCTTTGAGGGCGACCGTGATGCCGATGTGGCCCAGAGTGAAGATGAGTTAGAGACCCCTGATCTAGAGGAAGTTAATGTACGTACATTTTGTTTTCTTGTGTATTCAACATGTCTTGTACATTCTTTGTTTCAGAAATAGTTTGAGATGCAATGGATCATTAAAGCCACGGTTCTTTTCCTCTCAGAGTCACGGTTCAGATCAGCACAAAAGAAAAAACATAACGTTAAATACACAACAACTAACTTAAAGGCTGAACACCAAAATATGAGAGGATTATTAATAAACTGGCATTTTAAGAGTTACAAGTTAATACTGTTTCAAGGCCTCTTGAGCATTCAAACCACGCCTGTTGATCATCAGACAGTGTTTGAAGCTACAACAAATACCTTTCATGTTGTGTTGGTTTTGCAGCACTATGAATAAAACATAATTAGTCAAACCCTCTGTTTAGACTGAGGAGAGAAAGAATAGTGAGAACAATAACAGAATGTAGACATCAATGACAGAAAACAGTTTGAGGAGAACTTAAAGTTATATTATAATGCAAACAGAATACAATGGAAGAGGAGAATGAGGTCAAAATAGGAACAAAACCCGAAAAATCAACAGAAGAAAGAAACAAGGACGAAATAAAATGATTGCTCAACTCTACAGCACTACCACCTCCACAAACAAGTTAGAAGCAGATGTATAAGTACAGTATGCCAACAATCAAAAGATACACAAAATAAAACCCAAAAGTACCACCCTGCCTCCTGCAAAGTTATCAATTAACAACTAAACTGTAATCTTCATTTCATTTCAAAGGAAACCCAGATTACGGTCGCAGTTTCAAACATGCGATTAAAGCTGTGAGTTGTGAAATGGCACAACAGTACTTTGTTGGATTTAGTGGAAATCCTCACGGTTTCGACTACGAAATTAAAACAAAACTAAAACGCAACAGAAATACTTGGTTATGTTTAGGCAACAACAGGAAATGGACAGCAGCCTCCTGGGTGTTTTTTTGATCCATCCACCACTCCGACGTCCTCCACATACAAACTTCCAGAGTCATTCGAAACTTATTTGTAATTTGGGTCTTCAGTGTCTGCTGGTCTGTCTACCAGGAAGTCCAAAATCCAGTTGCAGGTGGATGTTGGAAACGTGAGGTTTGTCAGCTTCATCGGCTGGATTGCATTGAAGGAAGAGACGTAATCCAAAAAGAGAATGTGCACATAGGTTCTGCTAATGTCCAAGTGTCCAAGTGTTCAAGTGTTGAGTGGAGTGCCAGAGCATCATCCACCGATCTGTTTGTGTGGCAGGTAAACTGTAAGGGGTCCTCGTCTGGAACAACACAGTTTATGGATTGAAGAACCAGCTTTTCCAGGCACTTCATAGCAACCGAGGTAAGTGCCACTGGCCTGAAGTCATTCAACCTGTATGTGTATGAACGGTTTCTTTGGAATTATAACAGAGGACATCAAGGAACGTGGGACTATTTCCTGTTCAGCACAGGCCTTCAGGACTCTCGTGACACTCCATCAGGTCCAGCAGCCGTGCATAGTTTAACCTGCTTCAGAGCTCATTCCACATCTTCACAGTCATACAGTGACTGGGTCTCTGATGTAAGTGGGCTGTAGCAGGATTGCCAGGTGGTCGGACCTGCCAAAATGGGGTTTGGGGACAGCAGTATATGCCTTCTTTATGTTACTGTAGCAGTGGTCTAAAGTGTTGTTTCCTCTTGTCGGGAAATTCACAAACTGGTGGAGTTTAGGCATCGTTTTCTTCAGATTACAATGATTGAAATCCCCCAGAACAACAACAGCGGCGAGCGGATACGTAATCTCATGTCTGCTGATCATATCGTGCAATTCCCTGAGTGCGTTGTCCTCATTGGCGCAGGGGGGCACATACACAACACTCAAAATGATGCTCTGCAGTCTTCTTGGCAGATAAAATGGCCTGCACCTTAGTGTAATATATTCCACATCCTTGGAGCAGGACTGGGATATTACCTTCGTGTCAGTACACCAGGACAGTTTGACGAAGATCGCGGTTCCTCCCCCGCGGGTTTTGCCGCAGTCCGCGGCTTTGCGGTCGGCTCTGAAGGCTTTGTAGCCCCCCGGTGTTATGACCTCATCAGGTGTCGTCTCTCCGAGCCATGTTTCACAGAAGCACAACACAGAACAGTCCTGAATATACCTTTGTGTAGCTATTCGGCACAGGAGCTCGTCCATCTTGTTTACTAGAGACTGTACGTTCGCAAAAAGTATGACCGGGAGGGGAAGCCTTCCTCGGCGAACCAGGTGCCAGAGTCTCCGCTGGATGCTTCCTCGCCTAACGCATTTACGTGGCGGCCTCTGGTTGACGGTGGAGCCCCAGGCTGCCGCCTGTCTCGGTGTTACTCCACCATGACGATGTAGCTCCGAGAAGCTATCGATCTCGCTAGGGTTGAAGAATCCCTTGTCACCAATCTCCCCTAGCTGCAATAAGGTCACCCTGTCATACTTAATTCTGGTCCTACCAGATGGAAAAAGAGACAACAAGTAGATAGACAGGTAAAGCCTGACTTGGAGAGCACCGCAACGTCGCACACACGTGATACAAATTATCTGAGGTTTTCTGACTCTGTGAACTTCACTGAATGAGCGCTGGATCTTTCCAAAGTCTTCTCTCCTCAGCTCCAGTGCTTTCTGATAAGAATCATCAGGGAATCTACTCTCCATCAGTTCTTTCAGACCTGGGAACTGCTCACGCAGTTTTCCATGAATTTCCTCAATGTTTCTGTCTTTGTTTGCCACTGCTGCTCTGACACTGGTTCCTGTCTGCTGTAGTACCTCTAAGACTGCCATTTCACGCTCACGTCTCTGTTGTGAGATATCTGATGCACCCGGGGTTTCCTGCATGCTTTCATTTGATCTCTTGTTTCGTGGAAGACGTATCTTGAACTCTTTTCCATCTAGGTTGTCAACTATTTCTGTGCAGTTATGGAGACAGCTTGGATTCTTATTGTCCGACAGAGTGAAGTTTCTAAGATCCTCAATGAAGCGACCGTCTCTTTTAAGAGCCTCTTCCACAGTCATTCCCTTCTCCCCATAGACACACAGATACTTGAACTGTTTGACCGCACTGCTTATAAAAAGCTTCTTTGTTTTAGTGTTTAGTCCTCCAGCTGTGTCAATGAAGAAGACAGAATACTTGTCTCTTGAATGCACCGTTTTGTAATGTTGGGCCTGTTCAACCTTTTTCTTTTTGAGTGATAAGATCAGAGTCTCACCTTCACGGATACAAGAACAAGGAAAATGTGTTGCAACAGCCAATGCCCTATCCTCTTTACCCAACTGAATCACAATGTTTTCATCTGTAAACATCAGCTCCTGATATTTTTTACTTGATTTTATTGCCTCCAGCACTGTGCAAGTTTGATCACAGGTAATATTGTATTCCTCCTGGTCGGTAGGACTGCATTTCACAGTGAAACGATGTAAATGTTCACCCTGCAGGAAACCAGAGTGAGAACAGTTAAAAATGTCCTTGTTGATGAAATGAAAATGCAGACTTTTTGTGCATGCAGTGCATCACAGTGTACTCACCGTGGAGTCACCATCGTTCTCCTTCCTCACTCTCACTTGGCTGAGTTTAACAGTCTGCAAAATGAGAAAAGGATTTAGCTTCACTGCTTCAAAGATTTGACCTAAAAAGTTTCCCTGTGGAGTTTTTGACCACCTCGTTTTGTTTGCA